AATAACAGACGATATTTGTCAAAAATCTCCACCAAAAAGTTATTCATTTGAAAAAGATTTTTTATGTAAGAACTATATTTATTTTATATCGAATTTCTCCTCTTTATATATGTGGAGTCAAATTAATTATAATTGAGGTTTAAATGAATATATAAACAAATTATATTAAATATAAAACTTTAACAATAAATTTGAACACAATAAACTTTTTTCCATACTTCATTATGCTTTAATATATATATATATATATATATATATATATATATATATATATATATATATATATATATATATATATAGAACTATAATTTATAAAATATAAATACACATAATAACTTCAAAAAAATGTATAAATACATCTACCCACACAATTAATGCATTCATACTTGCTAATCTTGTTTCTATCAAAATGCATTCACACTTTGGAGGGAAATTTTTTTGCTAAATTCTGCTTTATTATATATTAATTAATATTAATATATATATATATATATATATATATATATATATATATATATATATATATATATATATATAAAGATAGTATAAGATAAGATAAAACCTAAACATTGAAATGAATAGGGACAAATGCGTGTTAAATATCAACCATGAATCATAGAAAAAATCTTTAGTGCCCAAACACATAAATGTCTACGATTTCAACAGGAAATTATTTTATTAATTATTTCAATCCAGCTTCTCAACCTTCATAACACTTAACAAATCAACCATCCTTTGCTTTGTATTGCTTGTTAGGCTCCAAAGTTCCAATAGGACTTTCAGGCACCTGTCCATCCAGAAAGTCATGAAAGGAAAACAATGTTAGTGTCAAATAAGTAACCTCATCAAACAAATCATCATTCTTTGTACGCACCACTCTAAACTTGATTGCATTCATTCTGTTTCTAGGAGAAATTTCACGTCCAACAATATGGATTGAAGTTGAAGCCACAAAATTAAGTGTAAATATAGGAGTCAGACTTAATTTCGTTGAAAGTTTACAGCTATACGCAAATATAATGATTGTCTTGTTTAGTAAATGGCTAATCCGTCAAAAATTTGACAGATCCGCCATTTTAACAGATGGTTCTACAGCAATTTGGTGCAACGGTTAGTTCCAAACCACTGAAAACTGAAATGCTACATTTTGCAGCATTTCAATTTGGCGTTTTGAAAAAATAATAACATTTTCCCAAACGCCCTTGTATTATATTAAAAAAAAAAAAAAAAAAAAAAAAAACTTATAACTGAAGTCAGTAAATAAAGGCACCTTAAATGAATGAGCCTTTTAAGCTATCAATGTTTTCCCAGCAGTGTTGGGTAAGTAAATCATTTCGTAAATCATTAAGGGAACAATGCTCCTCTTATATAGAGGAGCTCTAACGATGTGGGATCAATTTCTGGTGGGACAACTGGTCGGGTCTGGGCCCACTTGGCAGGCTTTATCCACATCGGGGGGTTTCATACTCCCGGGAGTTGCTTCTAGACTATGTGCGGGATGGCGAGCTTGATCTGACAGAACACGATGACTTGGCATATGCAGGGATTAGGGCGGACCTGTCCCGCTTGGGGCAGGGCCCGCGTGATATCCCACTCTGGACCGTGGCGTCCGACGGTATGTTTTCTTATTCCTCTGCTAAGGCCTTTCTTAGGCCTGCTTTGCCCACTGCACCGGACCCGCTCTTAGCTAAGTGTTGGCGCAAGCACCTTCCTTTTAAGGTGTCCTTCCTGGCTTGGAGGGTGTTCCGAGGGCGGCTTCCCACGGATGACATCTTGGCCCGTTTCGGTCATGCGATCGTCTCGAGGTGTCGATGTTGTCCAGCCCCGGTCTCCGTGTCTATTGATCACATTTTTTATTCTGGGGAAATAGCAAGAGCTGTTTGGAGATATGTTTTGGCGTCCCTCGGCCTCTACTCGCGACACCGGAGTCTTAGGACTTTGATTGCGGGATGGGGTCGGGCGGGGGCGCGTAACCCTCTTTTGTCTTTTGTTGTTTGCAGGTTGCCGTATCTGGTGTTGTGGGAGCTGTGGAAGCACCGTAATGGGTGCATGTACGGCCGAGACACACCCAGCGTTGCACGGGTGATGCATGGGGTGGCAAAGGGGGTGGCGGAATGTCTGTTTAGGCGTTGGCCCATGCAGCATATCCTACCCTCTAACTGGAGGACTATTGTGGCATACTTGGAGGCACATGTGCCAAGGCGTGTTATTAGGACGGTCAGGTGGTCTCCCCCGGTTGCCGGGGCGTTAAAGATCAATCTTTCTCGGTCTTCGGCGGCTGGGGGGGCTACGGTCGTGGTGCGCAACCAGGAGGGTGGCTTTTGCTACTGGGTTGCGTGGTCTGGCCACAGGGAGCACGCCCGGGGCATGTTCCGGGTCCTTTTCTCTTGCCTGGAATGGTGCCTAGCCGGGGGAACTACTTTGATTGATATAGAGTCCACTTGGGCGGAGTTGGCCACCTACGTTGATATCTCTGCTCGTCCGCTGTGGATTCTAGATGATGTGGTGACCAGACTCCGTTTCCTGTGTTCCTGTGGGGTGGTTACTGCTGCTGTGTGCCCGTCTAGGGCCAATATGCCTGCACAGGCGCTAGCTGACTGGGCGGTGGATAGGTCGGGGGAGGCCATCTTCCGGAGCCTCAATGATCTGCCAAGTAGGGTCCGTGCTTTACTGATACATGATGATGTGCCCTATGTGTTTTTTGATATTGATGATCCCCCGTGATTGTACTTGTGCTTGTTGCTCGTTCAGTTGGAAATATGGAAAAAGAAAAAACAGAAAAGAAAAAGAAAAAAAAAGAAAAAAAAAAGAAAGAAGGGAAAATAAATAAAAAATAAAAATAATAAAAAAAGAAGGAAAAAAGAAAAAGATTGAGGGATTGAGTGGAAAGAATGACGGAAAAAAGAATGGAGTGAAAAGAATTGGAGTGTGAAAAATGAAAGTGGGGAGGAAAAGAAAGAGTGGATGGGAGTCAAAAACAGTGAGTGTGTGAGGTTCTCTGGGGGACCGGGAAGCCCTGCTATGCAGTGCTGAGTCTCAACGTAAGGTGCTGGCGGTACAACAGGGCACCCTAGTCCGGGCTGAACGGTGTGCCGGGCAGGATTTTCAAATCCGTTGACCTGGTCAGGCTTGCTGCTGGCCAATAGTAGCTGAGTTCCTTCTGGACTCCGGCGGGACGGGCTATTATATGGGGGGTTGTTTTTTGTTCGCGTCAGCCCGTTATAAACTTAAACACTCACCCGAGATAGATGTGATAGCTGGGTCATGGGAACAGGATGTTTGTTTGTTCTATCTTGTTTCTATTTTCTGCAGGTGATGTTTCTTTGACCTCGGAGGCATGAACTGGTCTTGGGCTCTTTTTGGTTTCGCCTTTGCAGGCATCTTTGGAAAGACCAGGTCTCAACGCCGATGCAAGCAGTAACAATTGCATCGTAGCCCTGGCTGAACGGTGGCCGGGTAGGTGTTTTTCAAATCCGTTGGCGGTAGCCCAGGCTTGCTGCTGGCCCATAGTAGCTAATCCCGTCAGGGTTGGTTCTGGTTCGTGCTGGTGCTGATCGGGAGTTCTGCTATTGCCTGCCTTGTGCTGCGTTGATGATTTTTTGGCCCGGGATCTACCTTGTACTTCTGTCTCAGGATGGCGTCCCATTACTTGACTTAGGCCTGCGTGCCATAGTTTATTGTATGGCATGCCGGGTTCTACAGGGCAGTCGATGGCGCTCCGGGAGGTGTTACAATTGTGGTGCACCCCGGCTAGGCGGCATTATGGTGTGTAGTCGCTGTAGTGCAACTGGCTGGGGGGGCCACGTTTGTGACACGCGAGGCCTCTATCCTCGCTACTTGAGATTTTGGGATTACATGATGGGCTGGGATGCAGTTACGCTGTACGTGCATATTTGGAGCAACATCTCGGCCTACTTGCTTGATTGACATACTCCTGCCTGCGATGAGTTAGTGCTAGCTATCGTAGGGCCTGGGGGCATTCATGTTAGAGCCCCGGGGGCCACTTTATGTTATCTCATTTTATTTAGCGTTTCTTTACTTAGTTTATTTTAGGATTTAGGCCATGTGGGGCCTAAGTCCGTGCAGACTTTGTTCTGGCTTCGGCCTTGCTTTTTAATAAAGTTCTTTTTCCTTGAAAAAAAAAAAAAAAAAAAAACTTATAACTGAAGTCAGTAAATAAAGGCACCTTAAATGAATGAGCCTTTTAAGCTATCAATGTTTTCCCAGCAGTGTTGGGTAAGTAAATCATTTCGTAAATCATTAAGGGAACAATGCTCCTCTTATATAGAGGAGCTCTAACGATGTGGGATCAAAATTGATTCCACATCAATTACGTTTGTATTATTATTATTATTATTATTATTATTATTATGCAATAATAAAATAGAATTTATAATAATACTAATACTAATAACAATAAAAATAATAAAAATGAATAATAATAATAATAATAATAATAATAATATAGAATTTATAATAATACTAATACTAATAACAATAAAAATAATAATAATAATAATAATAATAGTAATAATAATAATAATAATAATAATAATAATAGTAACAACAACAATAACAGCAACAATAATAATAATATAATTATTATAAATGTCTATATATCTCTTTTTACGTTTATTCACTAATAGTAAAAAGTTAATTTTACCAAACATTTTGATCGGAGATAAATGCTAAAAAAGTCGTTTGGTTCTTCAGTAGTTTGGAGCAACAGTTTGTTCCAAACCGCTGAAAACTGAAATGCTACATTTTGCAACATTTCAATTATTAATATTCATTTCATTTTTCAATTTACACAATTCTCGTTCCATTTTTAATTGATGATGTAGAATATTATTGTGACATATTTCTATTCCTTTTTTAGTTTGCGTTCCTTTTTTAATAGGATTTTGTTTGTAATTATAGTATATATATAGATATAGGTTATTTATTTATTTATTTATTTATTATTATTATTATTATTATTATTATTATTATTATTATTATTGTTGTTGTTGTTGTTGTTGTTGTTGTTGTTGTTATTAAGTTAATTCCGTTTCCTTTTTCATTTTTCCTTTTCTATTGGTTGGGAAGAAGTGTTTGGACAAGAATGAAAGAAAGAATTTGTTTTTAATAATAAGTATTGTTAGGAATAAAATGTAAATTTTGATGAGCTGTATGTATTTTTGAAAAATCAAGTTGTCCTCAATTTTATTCTATTTGAGTCAGTTTAAGTCTACATAGTATGGTGCACCCATATCATGCAACCCCTGTACAAGTCTGGAAGATCATAATTTATTTGAAGAAGTTAAGCGGGATTATGGGTTAACACAATTATGATGCAGATAAGTCACTAAGGACCATGCTAGAAAAGTTGGATGATACGCGTGTAAGCTATGCCAAATGGTCCTAAGTTCTTATCTCAAGTTAAGCATTTTTACCTTACTTGGGAGACTAAGGAGCACCGTATGGGAGACTAGGTACCACCGTATGGGAGACTAAGTAAATCGTATTGGAGACTAACCAACATGGGAGACTAGCTAGCTTGGAGACTAACCCAGATGGAGACTAGCTAGCTTTGGAGACTAACCCAAGAAGGAAACTAGCTAGCTTTGGAGACTAACCCAAGAAGGAAACTAGCTAGCTTGGGAGACTAACCCCAAAAAGGAGACTAGCTAGCTTGGGAGACTAACCAAGTTGGAGACTAAGTAAAAAGGAGACTAACCGAGTTGAATGCACAAGTCTCACAGAAGCCATGCACCAGATGAAGACACACACCAAGTATGGTGCACCAAGTTCAAAATCGAAACAGAGCATCTCACCATGAACAACTATGAAGTTTTTACAGAAGGTTCCAGTATATTATTCTACAAGGATCATGAAGGAGAAAATAACTGATATATTTTCATTTGAACATCAATCTTTTTACTGTGGAACCGGAGACGCTCGAAGGAGGCTGATTCACGGAGATATATTTTCATACTCAAGCAAGAATCAGCAGATGAATTATTTGACAAGAAATGTCAAGCTTGTCGTGCCGAACTTATTCAAATCTTGGAGGCTACAAAATTCAAGATACGACAACGGGCAAAATATTCAAATCATCTGACAAAAGGCGAAAAGACTTCTACCTAATATTTCAGATCAAGTTGACAATTTTATTTTGATCAACTACATACGAAGATGGACGATCGAGATCGAAAGTTGATCAACGGGCAAATAGCTTTCATTGGCTATAAATTGTCGAAGCAGACTTGAAGACAAGCACGATTTGAATACGGCTGAAAAATTAAGATATACAAGCAAGAGAAAAGCAAATATTCAAATCAGCCAAGAAGCAATATATTGAGCTATATACGATAGAATTCAAGTCTGAGTGAGATAAAAATTTTATCTCTTTGTAAACTTCTCTACTGAGTGTAGAAAGAGGGCGGAGTAACTAGAGAGAGTGAAAAACCCTGGTTGAGTGTAGCTTTGTGCGTAGCACTCGGTGTAAAGGGCAGAGTAACAAGGGGAGCTTGTGAAAACCCTGTGAGAGCGTAGCTTTGTGCGTAGTTCTCGTGGTGTAGGAGTACAGCTTGGTGCGAAGTACTCGGGAAGGCGGAGTAACAAAAGGAGCTTGCGAAAAACCTTGGAGGAGTGTAGCTTTGTGCGAAGCACTCGGAGAAGTGTCGGTGGACACTTATTCACTATTGTATCTGGGTGATCGAAGAATAGTGAATTTCCTCCTTGAAGGGAAAGGAGAATAGTGGAGTAGGAGAATTACACCATCTTCGAACCACTATAAATCTCTCTCTCTCTTTACTTACTGCTCATATATTCTGTGCATGCTTATTCTAACTGCGAACTAACCCAATTACGATTTATCGCATATCTTTAACTGTCTGGGTTTGATAGTTCCCACGTTTGCATGTAAGCCAAACTTTACATACATCATCTTTGAACCATATCAAGTGTTTCTAACGTGTTGCATGTTTAGAATCTCTCTTTGAGCACCGCACTATTAAGCATAACACTTTACCGCTATCTATTCCGCTGCACACTCTAAGTTGTTTAACTTGTTGATGCTTGTTACTTAGAGTTGAAATTACCAAAGTGTTATTTGCCTTGTGTGTTTTGGAAGAAAGTTGGAAAAGTTAAAGAAGTCTATTCACCCCCTCTCTAGACTTCTCGCCACCCTTTCGGGACCAACAAGTGGTATCAGAGCGGTTGTCTATTTGAGTCAATTTTGACTGCTAGATAGATCTCAAAATCTTTAAGATGAAGAGAGATATGGTTCTCACTCAAAATCTGTTTTTCTCACTTGAAAAATTTGATGAAGAGAGATATGTTGTTGTTGGGAATCGAACCTGAATATTTTTTTTAAGGGGAGACGCGCGTTTTTAATAAAACGACGTCGTTTTTGCATAATGGTGCATACGGATGCACAGCATAACTACTCATTAAATTAATGGCTCAACAAAATTTTAATAAGATAATGGAATCGGCCATGTATGTTGATTATTCATATTCATAGTGCAGCCCAATTGGGTAATTAATTCCATTAGCTAAGCGTTTCATTATTATTGACGTTAATTAAATAAACAAGAAATGTTGCAATATAAATACTACAACCAACCAAAATCATATAAATAAATTATGTTTATCAAAAATTGACATTAACTAAATATTATTATAAACACTAGTACAAAAAAGATCAATAAAATCGAATAATTCGCGTCCAAAGTTAGAACTTTGGACGCCTAAAGTGTAGTGCGGTGGCATTTTTGTAATTAAAATGTCACTATATAAATAATTTTATTTTTATTTTAATTTTAAAACAGTATAGGCGTCCAAAGCTCTGTACTTTGGACGCCTATATTAGAAGTCTCGTATAACACGCATCCAAAGTGTCAAACTTTGGACGCGTGTTTTTTTTATTTATCAAAAAAGCCCTAGCAAATCAGACACGCACCATCGTCTTCGATCTTCATCTGGTTCACCGACGCCGCCCCCAGCTGACGCCGACGCCCCCGCTCTCGATCTTCCCGTCCAGCGCAGTCCATCGCTGCCGCACTGGTCGCCTCCGCCTCCGCGATCTGCACGTACAGCCGTGTCCATCGTCGCCGTCAATCGCCGCAGCACTGGTCCACGCCGTCCCCACCGCTCCGGTCCTAGCCGCCGTCCCGCCGCTCCATTCCCCGCCGCCGTCCACGCCGTCCCCGCCGCTAACCATCGCTGCAGGTTAGTTCCTTTTTTCTTTATTTGTTTTTAATTTATTATATTTTGTAATATATTTTAAAAATTTCATTGTTTGTTTTAGTTTAGATTTGTTGTGTGTTATTGTATATGTTAGACATTCTTGTGATATATACATTATTTATCAAGTTTTTTCCCTCCCCCTTAATTATTTCTGTTAATTTCTTATATATACAATTTTTATTTTGCTGATGAAAAAAAAAAAAAAAGAGAGAAACTTTACACCAAGAATCTTTCTTGTCTCTCCTGTCTCTCCATTTTACCTGTTTATTTAAATTATTTTTCTTTTCATGCGAAGAAGCTAAAGATCCATCATGCATATTCTAGTGGAAAATCTCACTTTGAACATAAAATAAGAAAAAATGAAATGGAAATGTTGACTTGAGGTATACACTATACGCACCTTAAGATGAAAAAAGATATCTAGGGACTCAAATTTATGCACTGTTTAGATTTCCTAAATAACTATACTATTGCAATCTGCAATGTATTGACTCTTAGTTCTCTTGTTTTTTTTCTTCTCTTTTTTCATTACAGCTACCGGACAAATTACTTCCTCATGGTTGCTTTTATTCTTGGTAGGAGAGGCTAAAGTTGTTAGGCCATTACTTTTACTATTTTCTCTTCATTTGTAATCTTATGTTTCATCAATGGTATGCACTATTATTCTGATCATTGAAGATAATAATTGGTTTCTTGTAGCTTTTATACCAATTTTATAATTTGTTTGTAACTGTTAAACATGACCACTTAAGAAAAGATTGTCCTTTCCTGTTTCTTTTTGCTTGTGGACATTTTAAAATGGGTATTATGACTTACATAACAAATTAACAATACAACATATGTTTTATACATTTGATGGTTTGCTATTGGTATTCTTTTACTTAGCACCCTATCTCATGTTTTTCACTGCTATTTTCACTCTTATTAAGTTAAATAAACAATCATTCTTTTTTTTTTTTTTTCTTGGCCAAAGAGTGGAGCTCAATGGCCATCTTTTTTTTTTCTTTTTTTTTTTTTCAGTTTTTCTGCTTATGTTTCGTTAAATTGAGTCTAGACTGTTTCTCTACTATAATTTTTCCTAAAGAAGATCTTTCGTTTCTTTATTTTCTTTTCCACACAGACTTGTAGATTGTGATGCTCTCAAGAGGGCAATTGAAATAGTTTATGGTGCAACATTGCCTAGAGCATCAAAACCATTTGTGTATATGTTAACCATTTTACCCCTGAGCATGTTGATGTGAATGTACACCTCACAAAGAGAGAGGTATTGATGTTTAATAAACAGGTTAGCCTTTTGGCGGTTCATTTACTCAAAAGTCAACCTGAAAATGTGAGGAATGGTGTTTATTGCAGGAGAGATCTGTTTACAAAAATCGAAATTAGCTTCACCTTGGGGATAGAAGTGAAGTGCTGCAGTTGTTTTCACTAGTCCTTCTCCTTGCAGGTAATTTGAAGTACTAATTCATAGAAGAAAAAAGATCAAATACTAGTACAAAGGCCAACCCAATAATGTGTCTATTTATCTTGTCGTTTGGTTCGAGGATCCAGATGCAGCTTGGCTTGATAGTGAAGTGCACAAAATTATGGTGATAAAATAGAGATCCAGACAAGTGATGGCAAAAAGGTATTGCAAGTTGATATTCTCATTCTTTTATTTTGTCAGGTTTATTTAAAAATTGCTTTTTTGATAATTTAGATTGAAAATCAAATTTCCATTAACTTCTTTGCTTTATGGCCATCAGAGAAATAAAGTTATGTCTTAATTTATGATTTCATGGCCTTCATTGTTATTAAGAGCCAACAAGAAGAGTCTGTTGGGGTGAAAAATATTCGTGAGTATGAAGAAAACCAGCTCAAAGTTGTAGACCAGATGGCTGAAGAAAGGCTTAGCCTGCACAATCAGCAATCAAAGATTAAATATCAGTATGTTTTTTGCCTGATAGATTAACCATATAGATTAACCCTGGATAGATGTTTAGGAATTTGGGCAGTTTTGGTTTTTTGAACCTTAGAATGCTGTCTGGATAAAAAATTCTTTCGTTGTACAAGTAAAAGGATGTTGTTACTAATATTAGAATTGAAATTTTAGATTGGTGTATTTTAGTTGATAGAATTGGTGTGTAGTATACATCTTAAATTGATTAATGTTGAAATATATTATTTGGTAGTTATGCTGGGATGAACAGGAAAATATTGGTAGTTTTATAAAAAAAAAAAAAGTTTTTTTTTTAAAATTTTTTTTACTATACGCGTCCAAAGTTCAGAAACTTTGGACGCTTATAGTATTTTTTAAAAAATAAATAAACACTATATGCGTCCAAAGTTAATGAACTTTGGACGCGAGTTATCATTTTTCGCGTCCTAAGTTCTTCAACTTTGGACGCGAATAATCATTTTGCGCGTCCAAAGCTACTTTGGACGCTGATTGTTTATACAATCAGCGTCCCCGACATTTGCGTCCCAGCTACTTTGGACGCGAATTAGCCTTAACTTTGGACGCGAATGTCTGTTTCTGTACTAGTGAAAACACTTATTTAACTAATTAATTATTAAACTCTAAAAAGGAATAATTATTATATAATTATAAATAACTAATGTAAAAATATTATAAAGATGTACATAAAATAAGAGTGTAAAATATGTCTATCAATCATTCACAAAGAGGACTTTTTTTTTAATTAATTTTATTTTGTAAATAGTTTTGTTTTGATTGTTATTATTATTATTATATTATTATTATTATTATTATTATTATTATTATTATTATTATTATTATTATTATTATTATTATTATTATTATTATTATTATAATTGTAAATCTATTTTATTATTACATTATTAGTACTATTACATAATAACAATAATAATATTTTTCTTTAGACACTTTTATGTTGTGCAGCCAAACATTAAAAGAAAAATGTTTTATGAAAAAAAAAAAACTAAAATAAGAACACATTAATCTAAGACATCTTAAATAAGAACCTTTTGACTTCCCAATATTTGTCCACGTTAAAGGGAAACCAATTATGTTTGGAAAAAGCGCATTGCTCCTCTTATATAAAGGAGCTCAAAAGCTCCTTTTACCAAACATTTTCGATGTGGGATCAAAATGATCTCACACCATTTACAAAGGGGGATCCCGGACTCCCTTTTTTTTTCTTTTTTTTTTAAAAAAAAAAAAAATTATTTTGAATATAGTTTTGTTTTGATTATTATTATATTAATAATATTATTATTATTGTTATTGTAATTTTATTTTATTATTACAATATTACATAATAATAATAATTATTATAATAATAATATAAATTTTCTTTTACACAAATTTCTGTTGTGCAACCGAACATTAAAATTAAAAAAAAAAAAACTAAAATAAGAAGCAATTAAGCTAAGGCTTCTTTAATAAGAGTCTTTTGGCTTCTTAATAATTGCCAACGTTGATGGGCAAGCAATTATGGTTCGAAGATGAGCATTGCTCCTCTTATATAGAAGAGCTCTTTGAGCTCCTCTTTCCAAACATTTTCGATGTGGGATCAAAATGGGCAATTTATATCGTGCACCACGACGCACAGAGCAATGTGCGTCCAGGCACAAAACGCGCGCGTTTCATGCTGACGTCATACTGATATCACTCCGTCCATCCGAATAGACCAAACCTCATTATGTGTATTCAGTTAAAATTTTATGTGTATTGTGTTATGAGTGTATGCGTATTCAGTTAAGAGTTTATGGGTATTATGTTAACCAAACCCATTGTGTATTCAGTTAAAAGTTTATGTGTATTGTGTTATGAGTTTATGTGTATTATGTATTATATTAGATTATGTGTATTCTGTTATGAGTTTATGTGTATTCTGTTATGAGTTTATGTGCATTCGAAACAGGGCATTTTGTTTTAACAACTCAACCAAACAACGTCGTTTTGGGAAGCGCGGGTCGCACAGTGCTATATGCGCCCTGGTGCGCGGTATAACGATTGATCAAAATGATCCCACATCATTTACAAAGGCAGCTCGTGGCTCACCTTTGTCTTTTTTTCTTTAATTTTAATTTTATTTTGTATATAGTTTTGTTTTTATTATTATTTTATTACTATTAATTAATATTATTATTATTATTATTATTATAGTAATTTTATTTTATTATTACATTATTACATAATAATAATAATAATAATAATAATAATAATAATAATAATAATAATAATAATAATAATAATAATATAAATTTTCTTTTTGACAATTTTCTACTGTGTAGCCAAACATTAGAAAGAAAAATGTTTTCTGAAAAATAATTCATTTTTCAAAAATCAATTTTCTACTTTCCAAACGAACTTTAATATCTATACAATTAATTTGTTAAATTCCATAATAATTATTAGATAATGGTCTTGTTTGATTATTGACAAATTCGCAAAAATTTTAACAAATTCACCATTTTAACATTTTGCCTTTAATCAAAATAGCAAAAATATTATTTAATAACTCAACAATTTACTCTAAATTGCTAAAAACTAAAACAACACATATACATTTGGGTTAATCTTTCCCAAACCTCCATAATAATAAATAATAAATAATAAATTTTTTTTTAAAAAAAAAACCTAAAATAAGAATCATTAAGCTAAGCCTTCTTAAATAAAAGCCTTTTGACTTCTCCATACTTGCCCACATTGACGAGCAAGCAGTTATGTTTGTAAGAGGAGCAAATATAGAGGATCTCAAAAGCTCATATTTTCAAACATTTTCGATGTGGGATCAAAATGATCTCACATTATTTACAAAGGGGAGCCATTTGTCGTTTTCGTTTTTTTTTTTTTTTTTTAAATTTTAATTTTATTTTGTATGTAATTTTGTTTGGATTATTATTATTATTATTATTATTATTATTATTATTATTATTATTATTATTATTATTATTATTATTATTATTATTATTATTATTATTATTGTAATTTTTTTTATTATTACATTATTACATAGGATTTTTATTATACTTGAATAATATATACATATATATATATATGGTAGGGAATATCCCGACCGACATAGCTTCACCACGACCGTGAGGCCTTTGTCTTTTTCTCTTTGTCTTTGCAGGTAATAGGTCGGGCTCCTTGAGAAGAACCCGGTCGGGGTGCGACCGGGAGTTGCCCGGGCGACGGTGCCGACCGCCGAGCGGTAGCCCTTTGGCGAGAGAGCTGACGAAGGACACGTGGCGGCTCTCTGCATCGACAGGCAGGGCACCCGGGAGGATGACACGTGGTGGCTACGTGGAGGACATGCCGAACGGCTGGAATCTTGTCCCCGGCATAGCGGCTATAAATACCCACAGTAGCTACAGTGGAAGGGACTTTTGGACGATCGATAGGTTGTTGTTAGAGAATCCCGACCGCAGTCAGTCGGTACTCAGAGCAACCAAGTAGATTGTACTTAGGGCCCTTACCGTGATCAATAAAGATATTTACTTGCTTTAATTGGTCTCGTGTTGTTATATATTGCTCACGTATAATTAGCAGTATCATTTTGGCGCCGTCTGTGGGGACCCGTGCAAGAAACCAACGTCTTGACGAGCACCCGATCATTACATCGACATGTATCCGTGGGCACACAACAACTTTGCCGACGACCAGGCGGATGCGGCGAGCTCCTCCGACCACTATGCTACCCAACAGCAGGGTCAGACGATGGACCTCAACCTCAACCTCTCACCACCGCATCCATCAAATGCATACCCGGCCGCACAACAGCCGGTGAATTACATACAACCGGGGTACCCAACACCCGGTCTGCCATACCAGCAGCAGCCGATGATGTATCCCGCCTAGTATCCGTACCCGGTCCCACCTCCGCCGTATGGGTATTGGCCAGGCCAACCGATGTGCTACACTTCCCCGGTTGGTTACCCACCGTATACGCCAGCTTATACAGCTCCAGCCGCCGCCCCTCCAGTACAACCGACCGCCCAAGTGGAGCCGCAGCGTCAGTCCGCATCCCGGGCTAGACGCTCGGCTCATTCGCGGTTGGGGTCGGGGGGTGCTGATGCGATGGAGGCACCAGCTCAGACCGTTCAAGCGGAGGACCCTGAAGAAGTTGCCCGAGCGGTAGCTTTTGACCGTCTTCGACCGGAGATGCGCCAGCGTTTGGGACCCCAAGACCCGAACCGCGGGCAAGAGGACGTACAAATGCGGGAAGCTAGCCACGAGGCTTCATCCGGGTATAGCGGGTCGAGATCTCACCGACGGCGACGCGCTCGGGATACAGCCCAAGCCGTTCAAGCCGCCGAGCTCAACGAAACCCGAGGATTACTCTATAACCTCCAGGCGGAAGTTGCGCAGCTCAGGAATGCGTACCCTGGAACACCCCCGGTCAACCAATCAACCCTGCACCAGACGCCTTTCACAGCAGCGGTAATGGCCCAGCCTTACCCGCTCGACTTAAAGGTCTCTGGAGAGAAGAGTTATGACGGGCGAGCAGATCCTGAGGCCCACGTGAATGATTTTTTCAGCAACATGATGCTGAAGGGCGTTTCGGACGCCGTGATGTGCAGAGCCTTTTACTCGACCCTCACCGGTCGGGCAGCGGAGTGGTTCCGTACCCTGCCACCGGGGTCGATCGATAAATTTGAGACCCTGGCGATCAAATTTGTGAGGAAGTTCATCACTTCCAAAGTGGTGAGGAAGTCCTACATGTATCTCGAGAAGGCCAAGCAGCTGGAAGGGGAAAGCTTGACCGATTTCCTCATCAAATGGAAAGCGGCGGTCGGGGAGGTCGAGCCTATGGACGATGCGACCGCCACCCACATGCTTCACATATCTCTCCGGGCGGGACATTTGTACCAGGACTTCATCCTACACCCCCCGACCATTTACGAGGAGGCCCTTCGGAGGGTCACAGACTATGCCAACGCCGGCGAGGCGAATGCCGTCAAGCGCTTGCAGGAGGTCGGCTCTTCGTCCCGTAAACCGGCCGGCCGGGCGGAACATAGGTCCGGAGATGACAACCCCCGATCCCGCACCAGGCCTGGAGAATTTACGGCCTTGAACCGATCCGCAGCGGAGGCCATGCAATACGCCCAGTCCTGCAATCTCATCAAACTC